ATATATATATATATATATACATGTATACATACACGTGTGTGTGTGTGTGTGTGTATGTGGGTATACATGTAAGTATATGTATGGATATAGTGAAGAAGTGGGATGATTGGGATGGGCTATTTGTTGATGGTGATAAGGGAGAAGGTGGGGTTAGAAGAAGATAAGATGAGACATCAACCCATTTGCTGATTTTGTTGAATCTTGAAGCATTGACAGTGTGTTCTTGGGCACAGCGTATCTGGTACGAGATATATATCACCTACTCATCCCCAAGTTACAATCTTTGAAGCTGTCTGAGATAAAGATGTGCGCATTATATATATACATATATATGAATATAATGTGTGTGTATATATTTGGATACCGAATCACTTGAGATCTTTTAATTGATTATGTGTTTGTCAACGTCTGGTGAATAAGTTTGATTTGGGTTTAATTTTTTAGCTCCACGAGTGGATGAAATTTGAAGACTTACAGTGTTCATAAAGTAATAAAAAAATAATTAATTGAAAGAATATGTTCATAAAATTTACATAAATAAGTTGAAATATATATATATATATATATTTATAAGTTAGAAAACTTATCAAATTGACTAAAAACGATATATAAATATATATTTTTTAATTTATAAAAGCTTTAAAATTTCTTGCTTTTATTTTTAATAAAGGTATATATTTTTCGTAATATTTTAACAAATTTCTATAATAATTGTTCCAATTTTATTGATTAATATAAAAAAAATATCAAAATTTTAATAACACTAACACGGTAATCTAATAATTAATGTATCATCAGTAATATTTGAACCTGCGACATTTGAACGACGTATTAAGAACTTAATCACTAAATCACCGTATCAGTGGTGTTCAAACTTAAATTTATTTTTAATTGATACAATAAAATAATTTTTGAAATTTAAATTTTTAAAAAACCATACTTGACTCGATCCTAATTAATTTGTTATATACTTTATATATATATATATAATAAGGTAGGTGATTTCTCTAAAAAAAATAATAATAATAATTAGTTACACTTGGGAATAAGATATTATGGTTAGTGACAAAATGTACATATAATATTGAGCAGAATTTACTTTTCGTGGATAGGAATAAGTTTAAGTTAAAAGCATGTGTTAATTTTATATTCTGAAAAAATAAAATAAAAGTCGGCGCAAATATTCCTTATTCCTTTAAATTAAAAATAAAAATAAAATAAAATGTACCAATTTGGCCAGAAGGAATAATTCCAAGCTTTTTTTTTTTTTTTTTTTTTTTTTTTTGGTTGAAGCGTGTCAATTTATCACTTCATCACTTCCATTTCATTTGGGCGGCCAAAAATTGGAGAATATTATTTCTGAAAACACATATATATATATATATAATTTTTTAAAAAATAATTATATTCAAACTCATTAATTTTTTTTAAAAAAATATATATTAATTAAATAATTTAATCATTAATAAAAAATTTTAATTTTAATCGTTAGTATTATATAATTTTTCTTTATTCTACGTGCTAATATTAAATTAAAGAGATCTACCTCTGAATCAGAAACGTATTTGAATTCATAATAGAAGAAAACAACACATTCTGTAATTAATTTTTTAAATTAGTACGTAATTTTTTATAATTCTCTCACTCTCCCTATTTCTGATGATGAGATGTCAGAATAGAAAATCTTATGTGTAATTTGAGAATCATAACTATACATTTATACTTTTAATTTTTATTATTACTAATTTGACTCATCACAAAATTATAAATAATACTTTAATCTCAATATATTTAAATTTTATTAGATTACTTTAATTGAACTAAATTAATTTGATATTCTTTTGTATCTACAAATATTTACATAAAAATCCATATAATTAATTAAAAACCCAACATTTTTTTGTTTGTTAAAGTTCAAGAAATCCCATAAAAATTGAAAATATAAAGTTTATTTATAAAATATATATATATATATTATTCATCATAAGAACATATTTCAGAGATATCCAAAAAGCTGATGACAAATTACAAGAATCTATTATTAGGCAATGCCCAATTTGATCTCCTCCCTACAAAATTTCACTTATATTTTTTGTTTCTTCACTCTTAAATTTAACCCTCATCTTTATTTCATTGAAAAAAGGAAGGCACATAAAAACTCTTTAAACTTTATCTGCTCTGAAGTTTAACTATCTTTTTGCTGCTGCTACTACTCTGTTGATTCTCTAAATGCTTTCACAAATGTCAATTTACAAACTCATTCTTGATTCTCTAAATGCTTTGACACTCCTCTCTTTACTCTGTCATGAATCTCCTCCTTCTTCTTCTTCTTCTTCTTCTTCTTCTTCTTCTTCTTCTTTATTGATTACTCAAAAGCAGTCTTATTATAAATCAATACGTCCATTCTTGAGGCAAACTAATCTCTTGTTGGTTAACCGGCTGCGATGGCGCCCTAGACAAAGACTGGCTTTGTGACGGTGAAAGTGATCCGTCGGCTTTGAGGATTAGGTCGTCTGAAGAGAAATTTGACGATTAATTTTTTAATTAATAACAAAATTACTGACGAAATTACCAAAATGGTAAGAAGCAAGAAGCAAAACTACAATAACACACAGGCGAAAGGGTTGCACAATATGAAATAATGACAAATGAAAAGGGTGAGTTTGTGTTTTGGTTGTTGAGAAAAAAGAACTTACTGTTTTGAAGAGTAAATTCTGAGGAGTTGAATGTTGAGGGCAGGACTTTTCCCACTTTGTCAAAGTGAAGTTTAAGGGCTTGAACTACTCTTGCCGGTATAAGAACTGTGGGACATCCTGACCACCACCAAACCCAAAATCTTTACTTCACATTTCTCATAATATTCCTTCCAATATAAACCCAAAAATCAGTCTTGATAAATTTTTTTGTATTAATTACATATTATATATATATATATATACTATTCATAATACAAATTCATTAGAAAAATACAATAGAAATAATTGGTTTAACTGTATTGATAAAGTTAGTAATGTCTGTCATTATATAATCCATAAAGTGGGATACACTTTTTCTCTTATATATATATATATATGTGTGTGTGTGTGTGTGTGTGTGTATTGTATTGTCAAAATCTAAGAACAAAAATATCAAAAAACAAGTTTAATGTTGGGTTGGGGAAAAGCAACATAAAAATTAGGAGCAGTGGACCACTGGGGAAGATTCCAGCTACACACTGATCAAACAACACCACTAAACTTGAAGCTTAGTTGATGAAAATGGAATATTGAAACACAGAATATATCCCCTTCTTGGATTTCAAAGTCAAATACATTACAACCAACAATATTGAAATTGTAACTGTTCGAGTAAATCTATTATTATTGTCTTGTAATGATTAAAAGCACGTATTATTACCCCCCACGAGTTTGAATCCACAGTAGAAATTTACCACTTATGAAAAATGACAGATATAACTAAAAGTTCCCATTAAAGGGAAAAAATCTAGGCTAATATGGGTTAATGCAAGAACATAATGATTCGTGTTTGAATTTTCCTTACATTATATATATATTTATGTTAATTTCTTGCCGTACAAATTTCTGAGGCACCAAGAAAGTACTAGATTCAGAGAATCAAAATCAATGACGAAAAAACAGAGCACACCCCAGAAGATTTCAGAGAGAAGAACAAGAATTCACCTGTTTTCTTGCGTGACTCGCAAGGAGTTCCAGTTCCACGAGGCAAAAACACGCCGGTTCCGCATCTCGAGCTCGACCCACCAAGCAAAACCGCCTCCATACCCGACTCAGATTGCTCGTTGATGTTGATGCTGTTGCCCCGTTGCTCTTGCAGGGTGGAATATGGTGTCGGACATGGAACATGATAAGGACGCAGCTCCTTCTTCTGATCTTTGTTAAAACCGACACAAGCTCTGTAATTTCCAGTTTCTCCCTGCTTCAGAGCCTGCTCTTGTTTGATTCTCTGTAACTGCAAGAACTGAAATTAAAACAGAGGGAAAAATTGGACCAGAAAAAAAAAAAAAAAGAAACAGAGCAAAGAGTAACAAGGAAGATGATTAAATAAGGTTTAGATTATTACCTGAAAGGCTCGAATTTGACTATCGATTAAGGATTTTCTGGCTTGGAATCCAGTATCGGATGAAGGAAGTGAAGTGGGTTTGCCAAAAAGTCCCTCAACTTGGTTGTTTGAGGGATTTTCTTCGTTAATCTTCATCTTCTCAAAGCTTCCAATCATAGGTGTTAATGGCGGCGGTGATAGTTCTCGAGATGGGTCAGCTGGACTCTCCCGCCTCGAGCCACTCAATGACCGGAGAGTCGATTGAGGCGAACCAGCAACCTCCAGTGGCTAAAATGCAAAAAACCCATTAACAAAATTAACCACTCAGCCAAAATCAACCGAGCGGAAAAAAAAAAAAAAACTGAGTTACCTTTCCTTCTTTCTCATCATCTTGAAGCATGGAGTGAGCCATCTGCCGAGTCAACTCGGCGATATAACTATCCTGTTCCTCTCCTTCACTACTCTCTCCCTCTGTATCTGTAGAACCAAGTTCAGACCCAAAAGTGGAACTTAACTCGGACCAAGAGTAACCACCACTATCACATCCTCTGTTAAAAAACAGAGAGGAAGGGAATAACCCTGAACCCCGAAGGTCAACCTCCATCATTAATGGATTCTAGTTCGCTCAGCGAGTCAATACCGAGAAATCAGGTGGTGGATTTCGGTGACCGGACAAAGATGCAATTATTAACCTGATCAAACACAGAAAACAGAGACAGAGAGAGACAGAAACAGGGTTCTACAACTTCATTAAAATAGAGGTTTTACAGAGAGATAAAAGAGAGAGAGAGAAGTTTGATAGTTTATTTAAAAGAGGAACATGGGGGAGTGTAAACTGAGTGGGATGGGTCTAGGGTTTCATGTCTGAGTTGCTGTCATTGTAGTTGGGGTCGTACATTTGTCCAGCTATACAATTACAGCCTCACCTGCCATTTGTTAAGGATTTAAATTAGTTAAAAGTATAAAATAAAGAAGGAGATGAAATGAATCTCTCCAGTCCTTCAATATTTGGGGAGAAAATATTCACTGAATGCACAGGGAAAGAATAAATATAAATGCTCACATTTCTTTTTTGTTATATAAATTAACTAAAATTAACCAAAATATACTGTTTTAATAGTTAAAAATTTTATACATTACTTAAAATCAAAAGTTTAAATTTTAGTAATTACATGTATAGTTAGTAATCCGCTTATAATATTTAATTTAATATATTTATATATTTAACAAACGCAATACTTAAATTAAATTTCTTTATCAATAAACTATCACAAATATAATAAAATATTTATTTTATTACAGTTAAATTTTTTTAAAATAGAATAATCATAACTATTTAATATTTGATTTAATCTTTTACTTAGTTAAAATAATTAAATGAATTAATTTGAAAGTTTTTTAAAAAAATAATTAAATATACATATTTTAAGTAAATTTATTTAAAAAAATTGAATACATAGTCGGAAAAAAATTATATGATTTTTGACTATTAAGTAATATCACGTGACTGCTAAAATAATATTAACTTAATAAAAAAAATAACACGGGCTAAGAAATAGAATTTATGGTAAAAATTTTGAAAATGTAAAGATTAATTTATAAGTAAACTTAATTATTTATGACAATTGGTAGTAGATAATAAAAGTTTTAATTAATATCGACCTGTAAAGTTTAGAGAATATATAATGAAAGTATAGATATTTATATATATATATTAATAAATCATAAATATCTTATATTATATATTTTTATTATAAAAGATTAATTACATGTATAGTTTAGTTACAAATTATAAACTAATAGATTTAATATCACTTATAACTTTTATATTAGTCCTACGTAATACAAATGTTCTGTCTAGATTTCCTCCATGTATGCATGGCTATAATTAGGGACTGTCTTTACTAATTAATTGTCTTGTTTCTTTAGCAGAACATGTAAGGACTAGAAAGTAGAAAGAATAGAAAGAAAAAAAAAATAATAATAATAAAAACGACGTCGTTTTAGAGAAGGGGGAAAAACGACGTCGTTTTGAAAGAAAGAAAAACGACGTCGTTTTGGGATGTAGGAAAACGACGTCGTTTTGGGGTAGGCTGGCAGAGTATAAAAGGAGGTCGGGAAAGAAAGAAAAGGAAAAAAGAGAAAAAGAGAAAAGGAGGGAAGGAGGACAGCGGAGACGAAGAAGAAGAGGAAAGTTCCAGAAGGAGAGAGGAGAGAGTCGGGGCGGAGGGGAGCGAGAAGGGAGAGGGAAGGAGGCCGTGGACGGACAACGCGACCGGCAGGAAGAAGGAAGATGGAAACGGGAGGTACGGTGACAATTTGAGCTGTTTGGTGTGGTGTGTGTGTGTAGAGAATTTTGTTGCAGGTTGCGGCGTCGGCAATGGCGCGACGGAGTGGAGCAGTGAAGGTAGGCCGTAAGCGTGGGGTTGTCCCGCGCGCTCACGGAGGTGATCGGGGAAGGAATGGAAAGTATGGCGGTGTTGGAGGCGTGTGGGGAGCCGTGGGGAAGGATGGGGTGGTGCGGGTAGAACAGAGTGAGGAGGATGTGAGAGAACAATCTAGGGGGCGCGGGTGAGATAAAAACTCGAGAGGACAGAAGAGGTGTGTGCGTGGTGTGTGCGTGGGTGGGGATGTGGAGGGAGCCGCTAATAGGCGGTGATGTGTTTCCCCGAAATGCACGGTGGTGAGGGCGTGTATGTGGCGTGAAACGGTGCAAGCTGAGAGGTTAACCGCCCTAGGTAGGCAAAAGTGTATAGGAACCGGGAGGAGGCAGGAGGATGGGGGAGGTAGCGGGTAGGGGGCAGTGGGAGAGGGAAGGGAGCTGGAAGGTACGGCAGTGGGGACTAGGAAACAGGATTTGAGGGGGATTGGATGGGAGAAGGGGAGTAATGTGGTCAGTAGGAGTTAGCAAGTTAGAACGCTTGGTACTAGCATGGTATAAGGGGAGATGGGAGCTTGCGGTTTGGGAGGGGAGAGTTGGAGGCCGTTGGTAGGGGCGGGTTGAGTTGCCGATGTTGGTGGAGCAGGGAGGGGATATGTATGTGAGTGTGACCTAGCAAGGCCGAGAGGGGTAGAAGGGTGCATGAGTCACGGATGGTGGTGACGGGAGGTGGAAACGTTTGTGTGTGTGCGTGGCCCAACGAGGTCGAGAGATTGAGGAGTGAGTATGAGTCGCCGATGTTGGTGACGCGAGACGATGGTATTTGTGTGTGTGTGTGGCCTCTTTAGGTCGAGAGGTGGAGGAGTGAGTATGAGTCGCCGATGTTGGTGACGCGAGACGATGGTATTTGTGTGTGTGTGTGGCCTCTTTAGGTCGAGAGGTGGAGGAGTGAGTATGAGTCGCCGATGTTGGTGACGCGAGACGATGGTATTGGTGTGTGTGTGTGGCCTCTTTAGGTCGAGAGGTGGAGGAGTGAGTGTGAGTCGCCGATGTTGGTGACGCAGAATAATGGTGTGTGGGTGTGTGCGTGGCCTATTAGGTCGAGAGGTGGAGATATGGGTATGAGTCGCCGATATTGGTGACGTGGAATGAAGGTGGTTGGGTGTGTGTGTGGCCTCGTGAGGTCGGGAGATGGGGGAAGAGTGTATGAGTCGCCGATGTTGGTGACGGGAGTTAATGGATGATTGTTGGGTGGGTGGGGTTGTTTGGCCGTGCTATTTCCTTGGAATAGGACCTTGATAATTAGTGTAGGGAGAGGGTTATGAGTTGTTTGGGGTTGGGTAGGATAAATGCATATAGACATTTCTGGAAATTCTTGTCACTGCATATTACACTTACAACTTGATTTTTATCGTATTGAGTTATGTGAACTCACTTCTCATCATTCACAGGTGGAGTAAGGACGGAATTGGGATCCGAGCGGCTGGTAACGGAGCCCCGTCGGTAGTGCCATAGGGCACAAGTTTTGTTTGTGAATTAAAGTAGTTTGAAAGGATGGTTTAGTCTGGATATTGAATATCTAGGAATGTTTGATATTGTATTACTATGTGTTGTAGAGGTGGAGATGTATGTACAATTGATTTGGAACATGGAAGGTGGACAAATTTCTCTTGTGCATGGTTGGAATAATATGGATTTCGGTATTGTGTTGTATGAGTGTTTTATCGTACACCGTTAAGAAAAAAAAAAATGGGGTGTTACAAAACACAGAGCATTCTGCCTTCATGTTCCTGACCACTTTTGTCTTATATATATACATATATATATATATATATACATATATACAATATGTATATATATATATAAAATAAGAGCGCCATGGAAGAAAACATGGGAAGCCAGCATGCACTAGCTTCTGTTTATTAGGCGATAATGATCCGCAGGAAGGATTATTATATATCAACATAAACAATTAAATACACGATACACTTAATATATCATTATGTATGTATATATATGTATACATACACATATATAAAAGAAGAAGGCCATGGAAGAAAACATGGGAAGCCAGCATGCACTAGCTCCTGTTATATAGGCGATGATGATCCGCAGGAAGGATTATTATATATCAACATAAACAATTAAATACTAGATACACTTAATATATCATTATGTATGTATATATATGTATACATACACATACACATACATAAAAGAAGAGAGCCATGGAAGAAAACATGGGAAGCCAGCATGCACTAGCTTCTGTTTATTAGGCGATGATGATCCGCAGGAAGGATTATTATATATCAACATAAACAATTAAATACACGATACACTTAATATATCATTATGTATGTATATATATGTATACATACACATAGATAAAAGAAGAAGGCCGTGGAAGAAAACATGGGAAGCCAGCATGCACTAGCTCCTGTTATATAGGCGATGATGATCCGCAGGAAGGATTATTATATATCAACATAAACAATTAAATACACGATACACTTAATATATCATTATGTATGTATATATATATATACATACACATACACATACATAAAAGAAGAGAGCCATGGAAGAAAACATGGGAAGCCAGCATGCACTAGCTTCTGTTTATTAGGCGATGATGATCCGCAGGAAGGATTATTATATATTAACATAAACAATTAAATACACGATACACTTAATATATCATTATGTACGTATATATATGTATACATACACATACACATACATAAAAGAAGAGAGCCATGGAAGAAAACATGGGAAGCCAGCATGCACAAGTTTATATAATTTGGAGCTAATTTGAGCCGGAGTACAATTTAGAATTTGGAAATGAACTCAAAAGTCAAATCAATAATATATATATATATATATATTGTGATATTAATTATACAGTTTTGATCTATATTTACAGTGTTATTGATTATGGCATGTCTATTTATCACTACGTTAAGTTTATTTACTATAATAATTACTTCCATTTAAATTAAATTTGAGACTGAATTTTTCTTTAAATTTTAAAAAATTTATTCTGTCATCTTAGTCTAATATGTTTAAAACTTAATTCATAATTATAAAAATAAACCCAGTTAGCAAAATTAATAATTCCATTTAAGTAGCTATTAAAGTTCATTCCTTTAGTGGATACATACATTGTACGTATATATGTTTAATTATGGCAAGAGTCAACTAAATCAGCTGATTATGGATTAAGCACTTTGTGTGAGCTGAACAACTTTAGTTGGGGGGTGAAAGTGAAATAAAAATAAAACCTTCAAGATTTAAAAATTATTAGAAATGTACGAAAAATATTTATTAACTTATTTTTGCAATAAATATTTGTTATTATCTTAACGGGAATATAATTCAATGTTAAAATTAAGTATGAAGAGATAAATATGAATTATATAAATGAATTAAATTATTAATTTTTAAAACAAATCATTTTTGTAATGCTAAGGTCATAATTATATTTGTAAATTACACTTTTGATTCTTGTAGCTTGATTATTTATACGAACATGAAAATTAAATTGATCTATTTTATTAACGATATAATACATACACATTAATAAATATAACATAACATTTTAAAAAGTACATGAAATACTTAGTATTAGATTCGAAATCACATAAACTCTTCATGGTCTGCGAAGTATAATTAATTAAAATGCAATTAACAACAAGGTCGTTGTAGTATAGTGGTGAGTATTCCCGCCTGTCACGCGGGTGACCCGGGTTCGATCCCCGGCAACGGCGATTATTTTTTTCCCCTCTTTTTTTTTTTCCAGTTTCGAAAAAGTAACCGTTATTGGGTATTCCTCTGCGCTGTCGTCACATTTTTCTTGTCGGAAAAGCTACGCCACGACGCTTTCTTCCATACTTCTCCTACGTCTTCATCTTCTTTCCCACGCTTCCTCCTCTCGCAAAACAACAAAATCCACTACCTTCTTTTAATGGAAACCCAAAGCCTACATAATGCTTTCGCCGTTTCTCGTTCGTTCTCCTCAGTTATCGCCCGGCAACCAGGCAGATTCCTCGCCGGCCATGGCTGACCTGGCGATCCGGAGGAAGCTGATAGCCGCAACAACCATCCACGTCATGGCACTGGACGGAATCGTCAACGTCAACTCCCTTTTCACGCTCGCCCTCTTCCTCGGCCTCACCTGGTTCCCCACCACCGACCCATCGGCTACCTTCGTCGACATCAGCGGCTCGTGCGCCGCTGGATCGGCGTTGATCGAGAACCTCGTATCAAGCCACGTGTACTCGTTCAGCTCCTTTCTGTTCTCCAGCCTCGTGGCGTCGGCTCTGAAGCAAGCTATTAAGATACGGAGCGACCAGCGAGCGGGGGTGGCGTGTGGAGAGAGCGTCAGCCGTGTGCGCGTGAACTTGATGGCTTTACGGGTCGGGAGTTTGGTGTCGGGCTTTGGGTCGGTTTTCGGTTGCGGTTTCTTGACCCTGGCTTTGGCGGATCTGGTGCAAATCAAGTTGGGTACTCTGGGTTGTGGCAGTCGGTATACCTTTGCGGCTCTCGGGCCTCTTGTCGTTTTGGTCCCTTCGGCTCTTGTTATTTATCTTTCACTTGTTCTTTATGCATTTACTCGTTAATTACTCTTTCAAAAAATTTAATATTCTTAAATTTATTTTAATTAAAATAAAAATGTAAATCAATAATTTTTTCATATTTAATTATTTAGTAATGTGTTCTAATGAATGCAACTGAATTGTATATTTGTGTTTTTAGTTTAGTAATAAGTGTTTGTATCTATTAGTTTGGAATAATAACATTATTAATCTTGTCATACATTTTGTTTATTTATTGGATCTAAAACCTAGTTTTCACAATTCTTCAAAAACAATCCATGGAAGTCTGGAAACTTGCTCATCTTTTGGGATCTCGGTGTGCAGGTTCCTTACTTTCCACTCTTCCTTCTTCCTTGCTGTATAAAATAAAATAAAACAATAAATCTTGATTAACCCTTTTCATTTATTCAACTCTTTAACACTTATGATTCCTTCTTTCAGTCCTTCCACTTTCATACCACCCTAGAACTTTCTTCTCTGATCTTTTACCTCAGAGTTTTCATGGCAAAGGATCATGTTACCATCTTCAGTTTCCATTCTCTTGGCTACATTATCATCACCTTCTCCATCATCTCTTTCATTTCATTTCTCTACTTGTGTCACTGTTCTGATACATGCTATTCACAAAACCAAATCTTGATCACAAACACTAAAAAACCCATTAACCTCCTCTTCTTCCCTTCTGCTTGGAACCAGCTTTCTTTTCCTTCAAAATCACCTCCAAAAACCCTAAAAATTGCTGCTTTTGTCAAGAAATGGCCGCAGAGATTCCACGCTGGAGGACTTGAAAGACATGCCTTGACCCTACACCTTGCCCTGGCCAGAAGAGGCCATGAGGTTCATATCTTCACAGCCTCTGTTTCAAACTCTTCTTTTCCAAGATACCCAATAAGCAATCTGTATTTTCATCTATCAACACCAACTGCTGCTGGCTATTTAGACCAAGCTGTGGTGTGGAAGCTTTTTCAGACCCAAAACTCAACTGGGGTACCCTTTGATGTTGTCCACTCAGAAAGCGTAGGACTCTTGCACACAAGGGCAAGGCACCTGCCTAATCTTGCTGTTTCTTGGCATGGAATTGCTTATGAGACTCTACATTCACACATCATTCAGGAACTCCTGAGGGTTCCTGAGGAGCAACAGGCACAGGCCTTGAATCAGACAGCAATGAAAGTTGTGGATGAGGTCAAGTTTTTTACTAGGTATGCTCACCATGTTGCTACCAGTGATCATGCTGGTGATGTTTTGAAGAGGATTTACATGATCCCAGAAGAACGAGTCCATATCATTATCAATGGAGTTGATGAGGAGGTTTTCAGGCCAAATTTTACCAAGAAAATGGAGTTTGAGCAGAGGTTTGGTGTCCCAGAAAGTCGACAGTTAGTTCTTGGAATGGCAGGGAGGTTGGTCAAGGACAAAGGACACCCCTTAATGTTCAATGCTCTGCAAGAAATTCTAATGGAGAATGAAAGATTTCATGGAAACATTGTCGTTCTGGTGGCTGGTGATGGTCCTTGGGGTGCAAGGTACAGAGAGCTTGGCACCAATGTGATTGTTTTAGGGCCTCTTGAACAGACACAATTGGCAAGTTTCTACAATGCAATTGACATTTTTGTTAACCCAACTCTTAGAGCTCAAGGACTAGATCATACTTTGTTGGAAGCAATGCTTTCTGGTAAGCCAGTGCTGGCAACAAGACTTGCCAGCATTACAGGGTCGGTGATTGTTGGAACAGATGTTGGGTACACGTTTTCTCCAACTGTGAATTCATTGAAGAAAGCACTGTTTAGGGTTTGGGATGATAGAGGAAAAGTGTTGGAGAAGAAAGGACAGGCTGCCAGGCAAAGAGGTTTGCAGTTGTTCACTGCTACAAAAATGGCAGCTGCTTATGAAAGGCTATTCCTATGTATATCAGATGGTGCAAACAACCAGACGGGTTATTGTCAGTATCAGCCTTGGTTGGATTAAAGATATCTAATTTCGAGACGAAGAGAACAGGAAGATAGATGATTAGTGTATTGGAAAAGAAAAAGATTTTTTTTTTTGTAGAATTAGTTCATTGTACATTAGCAGCAAAAGAATTTGTTTACATAGAAGATTTCAGTTTCTCTAATTCTACAACACTCTTGGATAAGACAGCATTCTTGAGCAAATTCTGTTTTATGTTTTCCTCATCAAGAGACTTCGGATTTGGGAATCATGTACTTCCCATATTTCATTTTTTCTCTTTTCAGATTTTCTTGTTATGAAAGTTGGATAGAGGTGCTTGGAAATTCAATATAAGATAATTACATCTATATTTATTATTTCCAAAAATAGCAGCTGATCTATAAATACTAAATTTATCTTGAAAATTTGCAAGTCTTAACGAAAGAATAACAGAAGAGATGCCATTAAAGTTGAATATCAAACCTTAAAACCATTCACATTGTCTTTATAACAGCAAAGACCATACAAACTTAAAATTACAGAAAAAAAAAAGATACATAGCAGCCTCTTAGAAGTTATGCAAATTCTTAATATTCTTAATCAGTTAAAGAAAAAAAACACGTTATACAGAGTTCTTTTCCAGGAAAGGCTTACATAAGATTTCTTGTAAGCTCTTTCCATTAGTTATAATTGTTGGTATCGCCTAGGCTTCACGAATTCCTGCAAAATATTGAACATCAAAGCAACGTGGATCAGATAGCTAAACCAAATCCCTATGCTCATGTATTCTACAAGAGACAAGGAATTATCTGGATTGATAGTCAGCTGAAAAGACTAGATCCATTATTTTCCAAAACTACATTCAGGAATATTTTCTGCTGTTGCTGGAAATTTTATAAATTGAAAAAATATATTTTAAAGAAGTCCTTGATGCAGCAGAACATGAAGTTTCTAAAATGGACAAATCTTAAAAATAAGAAATATGAGGTAAAATCAACAAAAGAACGTAAACGTCTTGGGAAGTTAACGAAAAACATGAAGATTTAATTTCCTTTTTTAAGGTTTTGAAAGTCTTGCAATAAAAGAAAAGAGAAAGTTTATTTTCCTATTTCCTAAATTTTCTACCTCCCTAATTTTTCTATTTAACTTAGTTTCCTGTTTTTATTAGGTTTTTTTAGATTTTCTATATTTTTAATGTATTTGGTATCTATAAATAAGATTGACTACTTATGATTACCATTTAAATTATTGAAATATCGTTTTAATTATTGAGATCCTAGGTCTCTTAGTTGTTCTTAATAAAAATTTTCTCTACATTTACTCTTCAAGTTCTCCTTGTCCTAGATCAGTTTTGCGATCTAAATTTAAGTAGAAAAAGAAATCACCAGCTACAAATGAAAAAACTGTCTTAGATTTTACTTGTCCGAATTTGTTTTGTCCAATGAAGCAGAAAAATACAAAAAACAAAGCAATCCATATTTCCTTGCCATTCTTCAGCTGAGACTACAGAAAAGAGTGGGTAAATGTAATAAGAATTCATCTACCTATTTGAAATCGAGTTGAGCAGATTAACATACCGTATAAAATAGATGGAGAATTCATACGCCTAGGGAAGGGAAGGTCCTAATAATAAAGTGAACCTGCAGACATGGAATCAGAAATTGGAGATGATATTAGAAATCTCTGACAATAGCTTCATTAGCTTTTGCATCATTATTTTTGAGCGATATAAAACTTAAGCAAGCAGATTAAATCAGAGAAGTAAAACATTAGAGAATTTATATGATTCGGTAAACAGGACCTACTCCTGTGAATATTCACTATAAAAAAAATGCTTGAAGTTAGAATGTGTTTTTCTCACCCTGGATACACACTAATCTCACAAAGTAGTAATAATGGCAGTTTCGAAGATAATAGTATATATCTATATACATATATATATAATATATATGTATGCATAGTGACTTTAAAAAAAATCCTAAATAGGTTTTGCTCGCCCATTCCACTATGTGGAAAGGCCTATGTATTACTACTTAATTTTGTTGAAATCAAGACACATCACAACAAATACCTTGCCACCAGTTTCCTCTAGAAGCACCCGGGGAATTGTTTCCATTACCATCATCTTCTCCCCCATCTTTCTTGAACTAAAACATTCACAAAGGTCATAGCGTATATAGTTAGTCTCTTACTTCATTTTGGTTACCGAGAAAGTTGAACATATCAAAGCATGGTATTGATATTACTGATCAACTAGTCAAGACTCACTATAGGGTATGATCCTGAGGTGTGAGTACTTGGGGACTGGGAATATATGTCTTGCCCACCGTAGTAAAGAGATGAACTTAGATGACACGGTTCTACTCTTTCTTCCTGAAAGATAGGGCTCCTCTCTCTGTTGGGTATGTTACAGCTTCTTGCAGCATCGCTACACAGAGCTATATTGTTTAAACAAAAACAAAACATATGAAGCGTCATCCTTCAAGTTTTAATTTTTGCATCGGATTTGTTAGAAGTGCTAAAAATTTCACAATGAAGAGTCTGTGATTTGAGTGAATGGAAGGCCAAAAAGACATGGCCTCTTCTTAGAAGTTTTATGAGGACGATTTACTTTTTCTGCTTATTGAAAAAAGAAGTGAAGTTTTGAGAGATTTGTTCCTCTAGATACAGAGGAACTTGACTGCTTAGAAATGGACTAATTAGGAGAACATGTTCTGCCTGATGCAGCAGATGCTCCAGGATCAGAAGCAAGTGAAAGTTAACAGATAAAATCAGATTGCATGGTGCTTACATATGAAGGAAGTCAAAACAAAAAGAATTGAAAAAGATAACCACTTTTATATTCATCATTTTAAGTACTCGTAATAACATTTTATGTATGAGATTTAGGTTATGTTGGGAACAGATCTAAAATATTTATGGGATTTATTTAAAATCCATATTTATTTCCATTAAGATGTTATGTAATCTCTAGTAGGACAAAAATTGATAGAATTTGAATGCCACTTTTCTAATTTCACGTGGAATTTCATGTTAGGTAAAGTTTTATTATTTCAGCCAGTATTTTCATTCTCTTTGGTAAAATAAGTGTAAATTTGCAAACAAATTTCATAAAATTTCAATATTTGCTCCAAACATAGTCTTGACTGGATGAACAACATGAGAAACTATAAGAAGATAAAATATGCAATGATAACTGACCTGGAGTACCCTGCTTGTTGCTCCAAGCTTGATTCCCAAAAGACTGCTCTTTCCATGATCCAATCCCATCAGAGCTTGAGGTGCTCCTCCCTGCCAACTGAAACTTGAAAAAGAAGACTTCGGAAGATTGGCCCAGACATCCGATGACAGAACTCAGGATTTTATCGCATCGAATTACCCTTTCAAGAGAAGAATTTGTAGGACAAAAAACAAGGAGGAACAAGAACAATATAGAGAGAAAAGAACCCCATCTTTTCAGTTCAACAAGCAGAAGTTGAGCCAGTTTCGTCAACCTCCAAACAAGAACAAGCAGGGCATCTTACCCTTTAGCTCTTGATTGGTCCTATAAACTCTCTCTATAGTGGGCATTCTAGCTTATAATTTTCTATACCATAAAGACAACCAATAAAGATTTCTCTAGAGCAACATATACATATAATAAAAGCTTTATTCTAGCTACAAGCACTAGAGAAAAGATTATTTCCAGCTTGGACTGGAATGAAATCTTCCATCCTTCTTTCAATTCTTAAGTCAATATGTTCTCAGAATAAAAAAGAAGCTCAATTACTATATGTCTGAAGTAAAACCACAAAATGGAAAAGTGCCACCCAATTAGCCAAGAACAAAAAAGAGAAGAAATTCAAACTCTGGTAATTAACATAATAGAAAATCATGATATCATATATATAATATACAAATACATATATTCATAAATACGTATATAAAAACATGAATATGTATGTGTGTTGAAGTAAGCATGGTTGGTGTATGGTGGTGTATGTATAAAGCTGTGAACATCAAATGTACATACCGTATGAGGAGGAGGGAAAATTGAGGCAAATATCCCTGCAGAAGATGCTGGTTGTGGCTCCTTGGTGCCAAAAAGATCAGCTGTGAATGAAGAAGAAGAAGAAGAAGAAAAGGAACCAGCTTTTCTCTTGCTTTCCATTATCAAAAGATACACAGTTTCAAAAACCAGGATCTGTAATGGAGAAACTGAACAGAATCCTCTTCCAAGAGGTACCCAGTTCAAAAAAGCAGATAAAGTTTGAAGAGAAATCAAGTAGAGCAGAAAGAAAGAAGACAGAAGTCGCTGCACATAAGGTATTTGCAGAAAGTCCTGAAAGCAGATATGCACACACACACATATATATAATGTATGCTACCACAGAAGACGGCACTTCTTGGAGTGCCGCCCATGTGCCATAATCATCATCAAGAAAAGCAGATTTTATTGGAATATTTCCTTCCTTTTTTGATCAACACATCAAAGTGATTTGATGGGATTTTCTCTGCTATTTCCCCTTCTTGATTCACATTCTGTTCTCTGAATATTATCCAACATAATATATAGATATAGATATTGATTAATATCCAAATTTCTGCTCATTGAGACTTAGCGGATAAGTGCCACGTGGGGTCCAGTGATCATCCGAGTGGAGTACCACCATGTGTGTCCTGCAATGGATAATTGCAGCCTCTCCTGCCTCCATAGAGCCAAAAACTTCATATTCATACTCTTCAAAGAAAAAAAAAAAATCTTCTAATCTGGGTCTTCTCATTTTCCTAGCCAATGACTCGTCCCGTGACTGATTTATTTATTTTTTTTTGCAGATAACGTGAGAAGACTTGAAAAAAAGTGGTCAAGAGAATTTTTTTCTGAAGAAATATCATATCGTTTTTGGATGATCCCACATGAAGATAAGGTTGTTTTCCCACTCAAAAATCATCTCCTTTGATGTCAACCCAAAATAGTTTACCACCATCTCTTCAAATATCAATAAGTAGAAGCTCTAATACTAACAAACATATATTAAATATTGGTATTTAAAACCTAATAAATAAATAAATAAAAGATGGCATAATTTGTTCTTAAATGAGCCAAAATTTTAGTTTAGTAATTATATTATTTTAAAATATTTAAATTAATTCTTATACCAACTTTTTACTATTTTTAATTATATATTTTTTTAAAAAAATTATTTTAATTTTGTTCTCTTTTTAAACACGATTAATTTTTTTTTTTTTTTGTACTCTATACTTCATCATAGCGAGTAACTTCCGCCCGTACTTATTCCATCACCCGCAATGGTGGTAGGAAGGGGAGGGGGGCATATTGGTTGGGGAATAGGAGAGAGGAGGAGGTGGATGATATTTTTAAAAAAAAACAATATTTATCTATTATTAAAAATAATTTAAAATTAAAATATTATTTAAATATAAAAAATCACGTAACATTTAAATAGAATATAATACATGTCTAATAAAAATTCACGTGACATCTTCATTAACACAGATAAATAAATATTTTTCTAAATAGAATATTAAAAGAATTAATTATATTTTATATAAATACATATTACAGATATATCTATTAATTTTGTATCTAATTATAAATATATTTATTATTTTTAAAATTTCAACTAAATTTCTTAAATATCATAATTAATTTAATAGATTATTAACCTTAAATGTATAGATCGATGATTTATTTATTTTTTTTTTTATCTCAAGAGAACACACAAAAATTTATCTAAAATATTTTGAAGAACCTTGACCGCAACTAATAGAGAACTTAAACTAATTTTTGTTTTAACTTCATTTTAAACAAGAAAGGAATATGCCAACAATGTGTGGAATTGGAAAATGTAGAAAATTCCATTTTAGAGAACATGCTAGTAAATTTGGTACAATAAAGTGAGGTTAATTATTGAATTGTAGTCATTTTCATATGATTACATTTAGGAAAGTGTATAGAGCTCTAAATATCAATGGCCAATCATGTATGCCATTATCTCATTAGAAGTGGGAGAATCCAAATTATTCTATCTAATTCATGAATAGAAAGAATATTAATATTCACTAACATATTGGAATATATAGTGGTGAGATTTCAATATTGTTTTTGCACTTATCCTCATCTTTTTCTGTTGATATTCATATAATATAATAAGTTTTCATTATTAAATTCTTTATTTTTTATATAATCTAATAGTATAGATCTTTTCTCCCTACATAAATATAATGTATGATCTAGAGAGTATTAAATATTCAAGTGCTTTTTTTTTTTTTTTTACAATAAAGAGAGTTCTCTCTCATTATTATTGAATGTAAGAGTTTTTAAGTACTTTTCTGTAAATTTTAAAATGATTGTAAATCATAATATATGAGGGAGAAGAAGTTAAAAGAAATGCTAGAAAGCTTGTATAACTCTCATAATCAACAAACT